GAGGCAGTAAGGGGAGCTCTGGATGGACTTGGCATCCCGGGCTGTGGGCCAGGGCTTTGGAGTTTGCTTCTCACCGTGTTGGGAACTACTCTGGGGGCTTGGGCAAGATAGTTTGCTTCTCAGGGTTTCGGTTCCTCCAACTGTCAAAAGGGAAAAAGCATCTTGCTCTTGCCCAACTGTGTCTCTCCGGCCAGGGATGCAGATGGGTGAGTTTGGGGAGAGAGAACTTTCTTGAGAAAAGGGAAAGGGGTCTGGAGGAAGGCAGCCTGGGTGTGTGTGTGGGGGGGTGAATGACAAAAATGAAGAGGGCAGAACAGAGGCCTTGGAGGTGACGGGGAAGGGGATGTGGCGCCAGGGAGGACAGAGAAGCCATTATACATACTGGAACTTGGTCCAGAGGCCTCTGCCCTTCGCCTCCCTCCCACTGGGCCTCCCAAAGCCAGGAGGGGAGCTAGCCCCGAGACTGCGAGGCGGCGAGTAAAGAGCCCAGCAATCTGCCCCGCCTCCCCTCGCCAACTGCATTTCCAGCCAACCCCGCCCCCACTTGCCTCCCCGGACTCCTGGGGCTCCGGTCTGTACCCTGCCCCCCGGCAGGAAAAGGGAGGCCGTGTGCCAGGCGGCCTTTATCACCACGAACTCACAGCCAGGTCGTCCTTTCCACGTGCCTCAGTTTCCCCTCCTTAGACTCTAAGGGAAATGATGGTTGCGGCTTTTCAGGCCTGATGGAAATGTCCTTTGGAGCCAAGAGCAGAAGGGGGAGGCCGCCCTGGCCGGTTCCCGCAGCCAGTCCCTTCCAGGGGTGAGATCTTGGGAGCACAGCATCGGACTCGCATCTCCTGGGCGCCATAGCCTAGAACTAGACCCCTAGCTCTCGCTGAAAGGAGAAGAGGGAAAGAAAGAGGGGATGGAAAGGGAGGGAAGGGGAGGAAGGGCAGATCCGGCCCCGGGCTCCCTCAGGGAGCCCCCTCCTCCCTTCGCCGCTCGCGTCCCCGCAGCGCGTGACCGCGCCACTGCGGCTGCATTGCTGCCCTCCCCCACCCGCGCCGGATTCCTGGGGGTGGGGGCGTCCGGAGGTGCAGGACCCGACCTCCGCCGGGCTCTGTGAGTGGGGGATGACGCCCCTGTTCCCTCCCCTCCCCTCGTTCCTGTTTCTGGACTCAGAAGCGCGTCGCTGAGTCACCTTTCCGGAACGCGCTCGGGACATTTAGGACTCTGCTGGGGAGGTGGGGAGGGCCGCCAAACCGAGGCACACACCGCCTGATCGATCGCGCGTCTCAGCCGCGCCCCCCGCCCCCGGTTTGGAAACCGGGCCGAGCCGCCTGGGTCTTCCCGCAGAAAAGACACAGCGGAGGCGTGCCCGAGTTCAGGGCGCCGCCCGGCTTTATGGGTTCCGCGCTCCTCTCAGACCTGCCTCTTCCCTACTTTAAGAAGCGATGAGAAGAGAGAGGTGTGCCGGAGCCAGAGCCACCTCCGCCTCCTACACGGGTTTGGTTTTTTCTAACTCTGGCACTACCTGGTGAGGTCACCAAGTGGGCCTTGCCAATTTCTTCTCCCAGTCTTCGTAATAACCCCACAGGGACATAACTTTTGGTGGCGGACACATTCAGGTCACTTGATGTGATGTGTATATCACACACACACTGACACACGCGTCCTCATCGGCCTCGACTGAAGTTACAACTCCAGGGTGCGTTTGTATCTTCTTGCGGAGCTGGAGGGACACGCCCCCCAATGCTTGGCTCTCCAATCCGGACAAGGACCCTAAGCCCCGTCTACACCAACAGGGCTCCTCTCTCGCTCCCTCCTCCCGACCGTATATTCCGGCTCGCAGACCCCGGTCCGGTCTCCTGCTCTGCCTCTGACAGCGCACTAGGTTTCCTCGGCCTCGGTGGCTGGGTGGCCGAGCTGCCGAGTAAGGGAGTTAAAAATAATTCTCCTTGCGAGAGCGGCGGAGGAAAAATGAGAAGCCCGCGGGAGGTCAGCGAGACGCCCGGGCAGGAGGAGGGGAGCCGGGCAGCCCTGGTCCTCAAGTTCCGCGTGGCTGGAGCAGGGCGCGCTAGGGGGCGGCGCGGGAGGTTCTGCTTACAGCACCTGGGGCGGCAACGGCGCGGCGTCGAGGTGAGAGGGCAAGAGTCGAGATGAAGCCGAGGTGAAGCCGCACGTTCTTGGCGCCCGCCCATCCGACATCGGGCACCGAGACGAGTTCGCTCCGAGCCCGCATCTCTGATTGCGTTGCGCTCTCACCTTCGCGCCTCGCCAGTTGCCTCCGCCGCATCTCTGGCCGGGGCGCGGCGCCGCCTTCTCGCCAGTCACCTAGAACTAGTGGTGGGGGCTCACTGTCGCCCCACGACCCAGCTAAGAGCTTGCGGGCGGCCAAACTTTGCGCGCTGGAGGTGCAGGAGGCGGCGCAGGACAGCCGGCCGCAGGTTCCACCCTCTCGAGCGCGGGGCGTGGCCAGGCCGGCGCGGAGGCTCAGCGCCCTCCCAGCGCTCGGCCGCCAGGCTGAGAAGTTCAGCTAAAAGTTTGAGGCCGGAGGGAGGGAGGCCAGAGTTGTCTTCGCAGACACGGGGCAGAGCCTGGGACCCGCTGCATCCTAGGGAACAGAGGTGGCGCCTCCCCAGCAAACTGGACCGACTGGGTAGGGCCGTCCGCCCTGCTCTCCCCTCCCGCCTCTGGTGGATCCCCGGCGACCCGCCTTCGCGGGGCCCCGGGGAACTGGGCCACGAGCCGCGCGGCCTTCGTGCCCACTCGCCTCTGGTGAGAGGACCGGCGGCGGCTCGTGGCCCGGCTCCGGCTCTGCGCTCGCGCGACAGGGGCGCTGTTCCTACGAGCGCAGCACCGGTCCCAGCGGAGCCGGGGCTCTTGGAGGGACACGCGGCAACCAGGCTGGCTTGGGGCGGGTATCCTCGCCCCGAACTTCGTGCCCAGAGATGTCCGCTCAAGTTCTGGGATTTTTACGAAATTGGGCTCCCTTCCCCCTGGCGGCTCCGCGGGGTGAGGAGCTAGTCCGTATGAGAACGCCACGGGGGTCTGACTCATCCATCGGGCGGAACGCGGGGCCTCGGCGAGGAAAGCCCTCGGAAAGGAACATTTTGCCTCGAGGGGTGGGGGCTCAGTCCCACAACGGGGGCGCCTGTGGTGGCACCGGACCTCCCAGAAAACTAGGTCCCCAACCCACGGGCTTCCCACGACGCAGAAGCGCGGCTCCCGGCGCGGGGTCCCAGGATCCAGCTGGAGCGCTCCAGTGCGGCCCTGCGCTCAGTCAGCGCTGTCTCCTCTCCTTCAGACCCGGCCGCCTCAGGGAATGACGCGGGTGCCCCCACAGCCCTGGCTCTGGGCGGAGAGGGCGAGCCCCACAACCGGTCCTGCGACGCCCGCCTGGACAGCACCGATAAGGAGCTGAAGGCAGAAGCCGGCGCCACGGGCAGCGCCCCGACAGCACGGGGGACTCCCAGGCAGCGGGAGCCGCGGGTCGAGGTTATGGATCCAGGTTTGTGGGGTTCCTGCTGGGAAGGGCTGTAAGGGGATTCCTCTCAACCAGGAATGATGGAACACTGAACTGGACGACAATGAGGGGCTAGGGACACTCGAGAGAAACATTCTCCCCGAGGCCAGAAGCCAGCTGGGCCTGAGCCGAGGCCGGGGGTGTGAGGGGCGCCCTTCCGGCACCCCAGAGCTCTCCGCCAGAGGCTGCTTCCTCGGGCAGTGTTCTATCGGGTCAATTACACGGGTGTTGCAGGCACGTTTCCATCCCAGGGCCCCTGGTTATCCTCAGCCCCCTAGTGGCGGGTTGGGGACGTGGCCTTTTCGTTTCCCCCGCTCCAGCGGGCTCCCCCCAGCGCCTGCTCCCAAGGCCCTGTCGTGTGCTGGTGCTGCTGAACCCTCGGAGCGGCAAGGGCAAGGGCCTGCATCTCTTCAAGAGCCACGTGCAGCCCCTTCTGGCCGAGGCCGAAATCTCCTTCACGCTGATGCTCACTGGTAAGTGTCTCCCGGAGGGGATCCAGGGAGCATACCCCAGCAGGAGACCCCCAGCCTTCATTATGTGCCTCTCCTGGTAGAGCGGCGCAACCACGCGCGGGAGCTGGTGCGGTCTGAAGAGCTGAGCCGCTGGGACGCGCTGGTGGTCATGTCTGGAGATGGGCTCATGTTTGAGGTGAGGCCTGCACCAGGAGGCTGGCCCCAGGGCTTGGCACTATTCTTTCCAGGCTGAGGCCACACTGCCCTAACAGGTGGTGAACGGACTCATGGAGCGGCCTGACTGGGATACTGCGATCCAGAAGCCTCTGTGTAGCCTCCCAGCTGGCTCTGGCAACGCGCTGGCAGCATCCTTGAACCATTATGCTGGGTGAGATCCCAGGGCCACAGGGGGCCTTCTAGCCTCTCTTCTGCCTCAGTCCTGGGGTTTTCTCCCCATGACCTCAGCTGGCTGCTTCCAGCTGCTCCATCTGACACTGGTCCTGCCAACTCCCTAGAGACCACATGTGGCTTTGCCCACCCTCACTCCCTAGGGGAAGTAAGGGGAGGATGCATAGGGGCTTCTGCCCTGCCCTATCTCACCTCTTTCCCTACAGTTATGAGCAAGTTACTAATGAAGACCTCCTGACCAACTGCACACTGCTACTGTGCCGCCGGCTTTTGTCACCCATGAACCTGCTATCACTGCAAACGGCCTCTGGGATGCGCCTCTTCTCTGTGCTCAGCCTGGCCTGGGGCTTCATTGCTGACGTGGACCTGGAGAGTGAGAAGTACCGGCGCCTGGGGGAGATACGCTTCACTCTGGGCACTGTCCTGCGCCTGGCAGCTCTGCGCACCTACCGGGGCCGGCTGGCCTACCTTCCGGTGGGGAGAGCCGTCTCCAAGACACCCACCTCCCCTGCTGTGTTCCCGCAGGGCCCTGTGGATGTGCACTTAGCACCCCTGGAGGAGCCAGTGCCCTCTCACTGGACAGTAGTGCCTGAACGGGACTTTGTGCTGGTGCTGGTGCTGCTGCACTCGCACCTGGGCAGTGAGATGTTTGCAGCACCCATGGGCCGCTATGGGGCTGGTGTCATGCACCTGTTCTATGTGCGGGCAGGTGTGTCCAGGACCATGCTGCTACGCCTCTTCCTGGCCATGGAGAAGGGCAGGCACATGGAGTATGCCTGCCCCTACTTGGTGTATGTGCCTGTGGTCGCCTTCCGCCTGGAGCCCATGGATGGGAGGGGTGTGTTTGCAGTGGATGGGGAGTTGATGATCAGTGAAGCTGTTCAGGGCCAGGTACACCCAAACTACTTCTGGATGGTCAGTGATTGCACGGAGCCCCTGCCTGGCCAGGAGCCTGAGCAGATGCTACCTCCAGAGGAGCCCCGTGACCCCTTGGGCCTTTCTGTGCCTTAGCCTGTCTACATGGTCTACCCAGAGTCCAGGACCCTTCCTCCTTTCCTTAGGACTGGAGGGCCTGTGCACAGCTCATGTGGGGCAGAGGGGGCTCCTCTGCAGAGGGGCAGGGGAGGTGGAGGCTTTGGGAGGATAGGCTTTGCCTAAGG